GCCGATGGCGAGCGGTGCGATGATAAAAAGTGGCCGTGGGCATCATATCAAATAATTCTGCAGAACATAACCCATTATACAAGCGGTAGAACACGCACAAGGAGGCAAAATCTCTCCTTAGACTTAAGTGCTCGATACCGCTCGTAAGTATAGGATCGTCAACAAGTCTGACAGCTCTCCTTTGGACCGCGTCAAAAGGTCCAAGCTGGTATGCTGGCGCTCCTGCCCAGAGATGAGAGCAGTACTCCATATGGGGGCGAACTTGCGATTTATATAAAAGCAGTCTTTGTCCCGGCGTGAAGTACCGCTTCGCTCTGTTCAGTACACCGAGTTTTTTAGATGCCAGCTTGGCCTTATCTTCTAAGTGACTACGGAACTGGACGTCACTAGATATGTCGACACCAAGGATACCTATACTTTTGGAGATGTTAAGGGTAGTGTCTTGGAATTTAGGGGCCACAACGAATGGGGTTTTTTTAGCGGTAAACGCACAAACTTGTGTCTTGGAGGGGTTGAACCGGACCATATGGTCCCGACCCCAATCGGAGACTCGGCATAAGGTACTCTCGATTTGAGACACAAGTTTTACGCGGCTTTCTTCCACAACGGAACGAGGGATGTTTGCACGGCCCGTGTAAAATGCGTCCCCGGTGCTATCATCAGCATAACAATGAATACCCTCAACAGACAGCAAATCATTGATATGCAGAAGAAACAGCGTCGGGGAAAGTACGGAGCCTTGTGGGACGCCAGCGTTTATGTCCATGCTTTCAGAGCAACTACCGTCTACGACGGCTCTTATGCGTCGGCCGGACAAAAAGCTACCAATCCATTTGCACAATCCCTCGGGCAGTCCGTATGATGGCAACTTCGTCAGAAGACTCCGGTGCCAGACCCTATCGAACGCCTTCGCTATATCTAGGCTAACTGCCAATGCCTCACCTTGACTTTCAATGGCCGAGGCCCAGCGATGTGTGAGATACACTAGAAGATCACCAGTCGAGCGACTGTGGCGAAAACCGTATTGACGGTCGCTGAGCAGGTCGTGCTCCTCTAGGTATCGAAGGAGCTTGGTGTTGATTACTCGCTCCATCACCTTGGAAAGAAGGGAGGTAATAGCGATAGGCCTGTAATTCGTCGGGTCTGTTCTATCGCCCTTTTTGGGCACCGGATGCACGTAGGCGGTCTTCCACGAAGACGGTACTTGCCTAGTGTGGTAAGAAAAAGCGAAAAGACGCGCTAGAACAGGGCACAATTCAGGAGCACACTGCTTTAGAACCACTGCCGGTATGCCGTCGGGCCCGCTCGACTTATGAACATCAAGACTTAGCAACTCCCGCCGAATGTCTCTTTGTGAGAAGCGAACCTCCGCCATAAAGTGGCCGCAATGCGGGATGGTAGGTGGTATGGTGCTTTCATCGACGTTCAAAGTCGAGTTAGAGGCAAAAAGAGTGCCTAACAGATCGGCTTTCTCCTTTGCACTGTGGGCCAGGTTGCCATCGGTATTTTGCAGTGGCGGTAAGGACGACTGACAGAAGTTACCCTCGGCAGCTTTGGCAAGTGACCAGAAAGCACGACTCCCAGAGGGATAGCCTGTTAGCTTCTTGCCAATTCTGCCGATGAAATCGAATTTTGCTCTGGCAATTTTTCTTTTCGTGGACCTTGAGGCAGCATTAAGTTCGCGTTTCACATCAGAAAGATCGGGATCGCGATTGTTACGAGCCGTGGTCCAAGCCCTGTACGCGACTTGCTTGAGTTGTCTAGCAATTTTACAGGACCTATTAAACCACGGTCGCTTCTTCGTCCCTGCAGCGACCAGCGAGTTTGGAATAAAGTTTTCCATACCCGCCAGTATAGCCTCAGAGACAGCAGCTGCGCAGGTGTCGGAATCCTCTGATGCGAAACAAAGCTGTCTCCACGGGTACGATGCGTAATACTCCCGCAATCCATCCCAGTCTGCTGACTTATACTGCCACATGCGCCGCAAGTTAGTTGGTCGAGGTGGATTCTGTCGTGCGCATGGTGCTAGAGTCCGGATAAGACAGTGGTCAGAAGATCCGAGTGGTGCATCCACTGATATGGAATATCCATCCGGACGTTGGGTCAGCAGAAGGTCCAATATGGAACTCGTATGGTTCTCAATGTCCGGTATTCTTGTTGGAGAATGTACCAGCTGTGAAAAACCATAGGCCAGAGCGAATTCGTGAGCACACCTCCCAGCGCAGTCAGTGGACCGAGAACTAAGCCATTCGGTGTGGTGGGCGTTGAAGTCTCCTAAGATCACTAACTCCGCAAAAGGGTATTGCTCAATAATTCTATCAGTCGTCAATTGCAAGTGCTCGAAAAGTCGTGTTGTTTCCCTGTCACCGCTATAAGACCTGTATAGGCACGCGTATATACGGGTGTGGCCGCCATAGTCTACGCGCACCCACAATATCGACAGGTCCCTGTCTTCAACATGGCGAAGACGCCGACAACAGACATCCTCCCGAACGTACAGACATACACCGGCACGTCTCAGAAAATTATGTTCGAGTTTGTAGCCAGGATAATTGAGGTACGATATATCGGCCGGGCAGGATATCTGCGTCTCCGTGAGAAAGAGTAGGGTCGGCTTCGCAGTCTCAAGGTGTTGGTGGACTGCGTTAAGATTTCCATGAAGTCCCCTAATGTTGCAATAGTCCACTTGGGTGGATCTCGAATAACAACTAAATTTTCCTTTTTTATTCAGTCTATTCTTCTGTGGAATGCGCTCCCTCCCGATATCAGGATGGTGCCCAGTCGTTTGTCATTCAAGCGGAAGGTTCGGGAGCTACTTTTGAAGAGATTGGCAGACTCGTAACTATCAATATACTATGTATAGTTATGTTACGTCTAAGTAGTATATGTAATATAATTGTGTAAGTTTATTGTTATGTCATACATATATATGTAAGTTTATATAGGGATTTATTTTATGTAAGTCTATACTATCCTTTTTTTATGCATTTCTGTTGAGTCTTAAATACGCTTGCTTCTTGCATCGACCATTGTTTTTGTCTCTGCATCACCCAAAGGTCTGGCTGGAGGAGAATGCCCTAGGCATTAAGCCCACCTTGTACATTAGTGTGTGCATGAAGTCTTTTAAAATAAAATAAATAAAAATAAATTATGTTAAGCTGTGTATAGTCTCTTGGTAGCCTAAACACACTTTTCTTGATTTAAATGAAAGTCAATAGTTGAGAATAATAATTTGTATTGTAAAATTAAACTAACGTAAAATGGATTGAGTGAACTGTATGAGCGTGAGTGCTAATGTGAATTATGAGAACGCACGGCGGACTTGATTGCTCGATACGAACTGAATCGAATAATTAGGTAAATGAATTACGATG